GAAAAGGTTCAGGTGTAAGCTTTAAATAGAAGAATAAACGAGGAACAGATTGAAAAAATTTTATAATCTTTTTTATTATAATAGATCACATTTTTTACTTGAACAACATTATACACAGTTTAACTAAGCACATAACAATTAAATATTGTTATTTAGTACAAATGTTTTTTCTAAATTTTCTAATGAATAACACTTTGTTTCTTGTAGTGAAACTACTTAAATGTGTTTTTTACCAACCATTTATTGTAAGTGACCATTTAAAGTTATTGTAACGAACATTTCATGACAAAATTTGTACATCACAACTCTCCTTCTTCAAATGAGGATATGGCAACAATAACTTATGTTATGTTCAAAATATTTCACAAAGTTGTTGTTTAAAGGTTATATTTTTCGATTAAAATGCTAAATAAAGCATTCTAAATCACTGATTGTCTTGTCTTTGGTACTTCCTTGATGCACCTGCTTATTGAAAATGAGTGAAAAACTAAAGTCAATAAGATATAAATTCAAGAAAAATACACATTTTAAAGTAAGATTTAAAATCTCTATTTATTGCAAATTTTGCATTATTATGAAATGACATTTTCACAAAAATATTAAACCTCACGATGACTCTATTTCGCGATTATTTTCAACAAGTTAACAGCTAGAATTTGTCTTATCCGAAAACTACTCAATTATTATTTGTAAATTAACGTTATTTCTTAAGTAATAAACATTGATCTTATGTCTGTATGAAAGATCATTTAATACTTTCTATAAAAATATATACAATGTCATACTCACGTAGTGTATTTCAATCAAAATATGAAAAAATATTGCACAAAACTTTACGACGTAATAACATTTTCAGTTACCTCCCTTTGGAACGGATAAATTTAGTCTCAAAGTCGTCATATACACGTACTGAATAGCGATACATGTCATTATTTTACCCATTTCTTAATTAGAATCTTGCATTGAATAATAATTTAAAGAATTCTTGTAGTCTTAACAGTATAGATTATATTCATGGAATTATAAATCAGTACCATATTCTACGGATTCAGTTAAAAACAATTAAAACCTGTATTTAGATTCAAATTAATAATTATTATATCTACATGTATATACAGTATAATTAAATCAGTATGACTTGTAAAACAGAAACAGAATGACTTTTAAAACAAAAATGATAATTATATCAGAGACATAGATGTTATCTATGTCTCTAATTATATGCAGTACAATTAATTCTACAAATGTCTTAGATCTACATGAAAATTTGAAAATTGCAGAGTAATAAAATGCTAAAAATTCTGAACTCAGTGGTTTAATCACTTAATAAATGCACGAAATATATTGATATTGATGATGCCGATATCAGCATTGAATGTTACTGAAACGTTTCTTTAGAAATTTAAATTAAAATATATTACCTCACAAAGGTGTAAAGATATCATTTTAAACATTTGGCAAAGTAATCCAAATTCATGAAAATTCGTATGGTTTTCAAAAGATACAATATCCTGCATACATCCTGCATACATATATGCTTACTTTCAAAATTATCATTACACGTCTCTATTATTATAATCATTCAATGTATCTAATGTTTCACAGCTGATTTCGGCGTATCGTGTAATCTGACCTATATTTGCCACGTGCTTAACTAGGCCGCGTACTATTTTCACAGACATGTACATGTTACTGACAATGTTAAGGTGAAAATTTAACACATTAAACCTTTAAAGCAGCATGTCTCTATTTTTGTATTGATTTTAAGTAAAACTGTTGTTAAAAAGAACAAAGTAGTTGATACTGTCATTTGCATTATAACACTGCATATTTTGTACATAGCCATGTCATTCTGTGGATAGAAAATTAGTAGGAGCTGCGGTCATATTTTGCATATTGCACTTAAAGAGTGAAATGTAATAATTGCACATTTTTTCAAGTTTGCAATTTTCTTAAGTTTTTGTAAAGTAAGTTCATCTCCAGACGTGGAATTCAACATACCTACCTACCTATTTCAAGTATCAATTAAAGTGTTTAGTAATATACATTTTTTGTAAGTATAGCGCTTATGAAAGTGTGTTCTTTTTTGTTTTGTTTTTTTTTAATGTTAATTAACTTTGATATATTTTTGTAAATACAACATACATAATTATACACATTTATAGTCTTTGAAATTAATCGAGGTTTAGTAAATATTTATATTATTTATATTACAATGAAATATTAAAGCCATTTCTTTGTCTATAACATAGCACGATATATATTTGCCTGAATGAGTAACTGTGCTATCATCTAAAATAACTTATAATTTATAATTTCTTGTGAATGAAATACATGTTAATTTAAAAGGGTTGAACACTTTATAAAATTGCCACTTATCACTAAATGCAACATACTATTAATGAAACGCCAAAATAAAACTGAAATTTCATCACCCACTTAATCTATATCATTTTCCCCTAGTTTCTTTAACTAACCACGGATATAAATCCGTGAACTAACCAAGGACAATACATTGCGTTGGTAATTTGCAAGTTTACAAATGAATGCAATCTACGGCAACGAAAACAATAACGGGAGAGGAAGTGTTACACGAGGGATGGAGTTCTTATGATAACTTTTCAAGGAGTTCTTGTGATAACTGTCACGGATTTCGCCGGAAAACTATTGTATATATTGCAAAACACTCGTCAAAAATGGTAATTTTCATCTTTAAAAAGTGAGTTTTAGGTGCTAAATTAAACTTTAATGATCGTAAAGTTTATTTAAATGGAGTCATCGTGTACATTAATCCAATAAAAAAAAATCAGTATACTAGCAAAATCATATAAATTTAGTGATTTTTTTACATGAAAAAAAGTGCGTTGTTTAGGTTTGCAAGTATTCTGTATTTGACGATGTGAACTAGAAATTGACCTTTATATTACACTAATTTTGAATTTTCACTCACTATTCTTTTAAAAACATCATACTATATTTCGATCATACATTCACATATTACTTAATATCTTAAACATATATCTTATGATGCAATAGCTCATTTAAAGTGCACTCGTATTAAATTACATGCCACTTGCATATAAACATAAAACGACGCTTGTTCATCAAATTGCATACAACTTGGATTTTCTTTATTTAACATTTTAAAATCATAGCACAATATTTTGAAAAACAAAATTCTTACATTATTTTTCAGCGGTAACAAATTCTTATATTTCTGGCGGAATATCTGTAAATTCAATTCCATGATTCCGAAATATACATGAAAATATTTATAACATTGGTTAATATCCAATATAACATTCTTTGTGCTGTAAACGTAAAGTTTACACAAAGAGTAAAATAAACTATAGTACTGATTTGATGCTTCGTTGCTTTTTGCAGGTTGTAAACCGGGGCTATTTTTTTTCTTTGCGTTTGTATAGCTCTATTTCACTATTAAAGTAATATAGCAATAAAGAAATATCAGCCTTAAGTGACACATTATAGATCGGTTTTATTATAGATTTTCAAAAGGCTGTATGGTACAGCAAAAGTAATACAAATAGCCTTAAGTGTGTTGTACTGAAAAAAAAAGTTGCTTCACATGCGCAGATTTAAATGTACATACAGTAAAATAGTCCAAGTTGATTAAATTAAAAATCAAAGCATAATTAAATAAAACTCCTCCTTTTAACAGAATATCATTGGACGTATAGTTTCAAACAATATGAGACATACATAAATTACCTTAAATTTTGTACAAAGTAAAACAAAATAATCAACATTTTTTTGGTTCTTTATAACTAAATGAAATAAAATTAATAATAATTATATTACTGGGAGTAATAAATAACAGCCTATAAACGGCTGCGCCTGGGCAAAAGACGGAGCCATTTCTAAGCCTGTGCGAGGTGGCTTAAGAAATGTTGCACATTACATTAACTGTCATGAACAGATTTGATAAAACATACTCTTCAATTTTAATTGCTTTACTTTCATTGCTCTCCAAGGACCTCCCCTTTTCCAGATTTTTTTTCGTGGCATAAAGGAATGTGCGCGCGCGAGCGCGTGTGTGTGTGTTCTAGGCTTAATGAGGGTCCATCCGCCCTTTCAAGCACTGAGAGTACCGACCCCGGACATGTCACCACTCATATGTCCTAAAATGTTATTATCTGCCAAAGAGTGACCTATAAATTTCACATTGAATGATAACGGATAGTTATGCATGTCGATTATTGTGAACACAGTATTTTGATGCACTGGAGGCCAACGAGACCATTATATGCATCATAGAGAAAACAAGGTGTTGCTGCCAAAATAAATTAAATGATCATGTCTTTCGGACGACCCTGACTGACGGATAAAGCTTTGCGACTCGGACTGGTACCTGACACATGTAATATGTACGCATAGCAGCAAGAGCATTCTTTCCGTTTTTCACAAACGAAATTTGAATGAAATTTTAGCTCAATAATTGTGGTTCTTTTTTCAGTTGTGTATATTAATGAAAAATAAACCAAACCGATGAGATATAATTTACATTATAATACATAGCAAGATTCAGCAAATGATATAGAACAAATCAACCTACTTTGATTTGCCTTTTCATTGATGTATTTTCATTTATTTAAAGTTGAGGGTGTAGGGCCTTATACTCCATTATACATTATTTTTTACAGACAAATTAGCTCATATGGTTGTATTTGTTAAGTTTGTGGCTAAGTATCGTCCATATTCTAAAGAATAAGTCACATATTGGCTTGTGATTAAAAAAGACTTATATTACTTAACTGTTTTTTAACCCAATTTAAATATTTAAGCGCATACAGATTTAATTGTTATTTGTGCATCCTTCAGTTTCTGAAAGAGAAATTAAATATTTTTTCGATTCTTTGTTTTTTTTCTGCTGTATTTTAATGCTCCTCGTGGCATGATGTTTTCTTCAATGAATTTTTATTTAAGTATGATGTAAATAAGTAAAATAAATCATTTATCAAGTAAGATCGTCCGTAATTAACATTTAGAGTTGTGTTACCTGCATTATCAGCTACAAATTTCCATGTTATGTTATTCTTATGATTAAACCGGAAACGCGCGCAACAGCACGTGTAGATTTTCAAAATGGAAGACGGTAAGAAAACAGAATTGAAATTAAACGTGTTTTAAATGTTTTTCAATCATTTACAAGTAACTTTGCCATATTTTCATTTTCGTTTGAACGTTTTTTTCGTGTTGCATGATTATCAATAGTTGACAATTAAGATAAAGCGGAGAAAGACCGCTATCAAAGCAGGAATGCATGGCCCCACGTGTTCGTAGTCGAGCGGTCGGCATTTAAAGAATCAATACTTGCAGCTTCATTAACATTTACATGTACGTGATATTATAGAATGATTGTCTCAAGAAAGCATAGAATATATTTGTGATAAAATTCTTCGTCAAAAATAGCAGACGTAACGGGTCTTGAGAGATTGCCAAATTCAGCATATTTATCAGTGCATTCAGTTTGAGATGTTCATACCCAATTCTCTGAGAGTTATATCGTTCCACAGTTTTTTCCTTTATTTGAGTGTTAAATTGTTTACAGTGTTAGCAAAATTTTCGTCTTGGATGTGCTATGGGTTTGTGACCATTTTCAGTGGTGACGTTGCTAGCCTAAGTAAAATTTAAGTAATGTCATATTTATATGCAAGGCCGTTGTTGATTGTCCGGTCTTTGCTGGACCAATATTTTGGCCAAAAATGTCAGGTCCTTGCTCCTTAACAAGAATTTCAAAAAACAACACATCGCTTCGCTGATTAATAGCAATTTGACACTTGACTGGCCCTTCATGCAAGGTGCTGTAATTAATATATAAACATGAGGCTAAACAGATGGACACTGCAGGGCATTTTTGTCAAAATAGTGAAAGGGCCTGGGCCTGTTCATTTTGTGAGAAAAAACGCGATATGGCTTATGCCATAAAATTGTGAAAAAAAGACATATGACATGGCATTTTGTGACTTTGAAACCGGAAACGGTAATTATAATTTCTTAACTGTGTATACCTGCTTCAAATCGGTACTTTAACCCAATTAACATGCGCAAAAACCATTTAACTTGATTAAAACTATTTCTGTGTTATTGCAATTGGCATAAATCAAGTTTTATCGGAAGATAAACAATGTATTTCGAAGAGAAAGTCCCAACATTTCGTGAAATCTCTTTTGAAATTGTGAATTTTTCTGCCGCTTTGTGAAAAAAAGGTGCAATTTTGAATTGTGAAGGGGCCTTATACTGGCCCCTATTATAGAAGGAAAAAAAGCCCTGCACTGTTAACTGACCCGGTACATCGTAACATGTAGGGATACAATGTGTATGAAGTCAAGTGTGAAGTTATTTCGACACGGTTTCAGACAGTAAATATTATGTATATTCAAAATACATTACAATTCTTTAAACTCTACTGCTGTTCACATACAAATAGTTTAAAATATCAAAATATCATGGCTTGTGACACAGTTCCATCTGACCCAAATATCCAATATTATTTTTCGTTCCCAAAACGAATGACGATGATGTGTTTTTGGAAACTTCTATTAAAATGAAACTCTGACCAATTGATAATTAAGTTTAAACCATTGTGAACACAATCTGCATACTATTCCTGTATATTATCAGCGTTTTTGTTCTCTACTTTGGGAATGGTACCGGTACCAGACTGATTGGGAAAAATGCGTTATTTTGACTTAAATTGGGATTTTTTTTATGCATTTTTTCAGCTACAAATAAGATTAGTCATCATGAATAAAGACAGCTAACAGCTTCCACTGTCCAGGTAGAACTATTGAGTGGTGATTTATATGAATATGTTGTATTTAAATGATTTCAGAGAAATCACTTAATCTGGTGGGAATTTTGAACAGCCATTTTGGGAATTTAAACATTGAAAATTGGGAATTTTAATGTCTATTTTCTATTGGGAACAGTACCGTTTTAGGGTAGTAGTTATATAAAGAAAAAAAACACTGATTATATTTCTTGTATTTGATTTATTTATAATTATCGATGACCAAATAATAATATTTTGAAAAACTGTACGTGTTGTTGTTTAAACGTTGTTATAATTATCAGATAAAAATACAACTGAAGAATTATAACATCAATTATTGTTTATATTTCATTGTCAAATATTAATTGTTTTATTTCATTTACAAGTCAACTCTCCTTCCGTTATGCGATCGGTAGTAAATCTTATAATGCACAGATCTTTGGAATGGATTACTGACATATGCCAAAATTATATGTACTAGCGGCAGGCTGTAAAATGTGCTAGATACACGGGAAAAAAGCTCCTGAGAGCATCCTAGAATAAAAATTTTTCTTGTGGAGCATACCCCTGTAGCGCCCCCCCCCCTTGGCCTACTATCACCAAATTGGCCTCATGAATCATGACGATGGGCCTGATAATGAAAAATTCTGTATTTTGTAATGTATTGTGTTATGTCCAACTATATCCTAGACTAGACACCCGAGGCCTAAACCATGACTAGAGTATATGCAATAGGCTCATTCCATATTTGTAGCATTCACTCATGAGCATAATGCCACTTTAATTTGCTTTTCAATAATAGTATAATTAATGTCCGGGTAATTTGTTTTCAGGTCACAAGAAGAAAAAGAACAAGACAGTTGATGTTGCTGTAAGTGACATTTAATCTCTGAATGCTCAACATTTTTTATAAATAATACATGAAATTATAGATCTTTTTATTATAGATTAAATTTAATAATAATTCACTTATGTAGTTCATATGTCATATTTGTAGCCATATAGGACTAATTGGAATAAGTTGAAGCTGCATTATATATTATGCACTAAACTCAAATGTTATATGAGCTGTTAAACTGTTTTTAGGAGACACAGCATAATGGAGACTTTCTCATACAACCATCCGCAGAAGTACAGAAATTAGACACATCTCAATGGCCCTTGTTGCTAAAGGTAAGTTCAATAAATCTTCCTCACCATGCAGGGCCCTCGATCAACCAAATCTGCGGCCGAATATCTGCGGCCGATATTCGGCCGCAGTCCCCCACCAAAATAGTATGTTTTTTTCCCCCTAACAGAGGTAAAAATTCCCCCTCAAAACATATATGTTAAAGAGAAAAATTAAAACTAATGTTGTTTTTGAAAATTAAAATCCATCTATTTGACGTCTATTTTGTAAGCGGAATATCGTACAGTACATGTCTGCACGTTTCCGTTTGTTTTTTCCCCCAAAATCTACCGTCACATATTGGCCTTTCATCCTGTAAAAATGCTAAAATTTCAACAGAAATATGCAGAAGAAAATCACAATTCCCATCAACAATTTGATTTCAAATTGTTTATTCATGAAATCATTTTTTTTGTCTTCAAAATGTTACATCAACCACGGTAAATTTTGCCGTGAATTACAAACTTGTAAGTTTTGTTTTCATGATACTTGATTAAATAACTGATGAAAAACGATCTTATAATAAACAATCAATTTAATTTTATATAATTTACATCAGAAACAACTAGAATTGTGGATGTGTAAACAGAAAACAAACAAATTTTCATTTGTCACATATTTTCGCGAGGCCGATTTTTACGAATGTTTTACAAAGTCAAGAAAAGGAAGCTTTGTCTTATTAAAAGGTGTGTTAGAACACTAGAAATGTAGTGTATGAATAGAATTTACTTTAGGTCCATGTATTGTTCATATTAGTGGAAATGGAGACATTTGTCTGGATGTGTTTCTAAATGATTAGGGGGGGGGGGATCATAAAGAAAGCTAAGCAGCATAAAGATCTGATGGTGTAAGGTGTTAAAAACTTTTCTTCAAATCTTATCAATCACTTCTGAACAGTTTAGTGTTACCTATTATGGATTTTTTACATGTAAATAAAAAACAGCTGATATTTAAATAAGTGTATTTGATAATAAAAGAAAAGAGAAAAATTCCCCCCATACACTAAAATTCCCCCTGCTGAGGGTAGCGACCCGCTTCCCCCAAATTGGATTGAGGGCCCTGCCATGGTAAAGCTTCAGCAGTGTAAACATCTAAAAATCATGTATTATTTTCTTCCTTCATCTTACTTTGCTATGCTTAGTGATTGAAGTAATCATGAATGGGTCCATTCTGCCTATATAAATTATAATGCAACTTTAAGATCCCAATAATTATATTGTGAAGACAATGTTCATGTTATCAGTAACAAGAATATATAGGATGTACTTGAGCAGTGTTTATTCTAAGATTTGAAAAATGAGGGATTTTTATTGCAAAGTGAGAATTTATTACATTTGTTGATCTTTTCGTTCTTTCTCAACATAAAATTTTCCCCCAGCCTCTAAAAAAAAAGGAGGGAATTCTCAAAAATATGAGCGAATCCCCTCACCCCCCCCTCCTGGAAAAGAAGCTGTTTGAATAGGTTTATCTTGCTCCAGTGTACTTTTTTAGCATCAGATTTTTAATGTTCTGCTGTATGTTTCAGAATTTTGATAAACTAAATGTGAAGACAGGAAAATACACACCAATACCTTCTGGTTGTTCACCACTCAAGCGTCCAATAGAAGACTATGTCAAGTAAGTAATGGTGCTTTTGCAGTTTGTGAGTCTGGGTCTCGATTCTTTTATCTGCAATATATACATGTACAAGACAGCAATGTATAATCATTGTTAATTAATAAGACATGCCTTTTTCCCTTAAATAGTTAGTACTTGTCAATAGAGGAATACTTAATACTAACTAAAACATTTTTCCCCCCAAAATTCAAAAGCGGTCACTGAATTAATACTGGTTGTTGTTGATTTTCTTCGTTGATTTCTTTAGAAAAAGTAATTTCATTCAAAAGGGAATCCTTAAACATTCGTTATACAAGAATATGTATTCAAAAGCTTTCAGTAGAAGCTATTTTGATTATATTGTATTCCATAGTGTTTGCTAGTGACTGTAAAATTTTCAAACTTCTAGACATTTCAGCAGGCATTCTCAAAATGTTAAAAGGTCTGTAAGGAAGGGAAAAGATATTTTGTAGAATTGAAGTAGTGAAAGAGCTTCATTTTGTAAAGAAAAATTATTATCTTTTGAGACAATAATAGAAGTGAGGGACAATGCGTTAGGAAAAGCCAATTTATATTTTATTAAATGAGCAATATTTGCACAATTTTTGGTAGATATTTTATTTGTTACTTAGAGCTGTCTATGAAGCCGACTTTTTTTCAACAAATATGCATCATATTTTCAGGAGTGGCTTTTTAAATCTCGACAAACCATCAAATCCCTCTTCACATGAAGTTGTAGCATGGGTTAAAAGAATATTGCGTGTAAATAAAACGGGACACAGTGGAACATTAGATCCAAAAGTAACGGGTTGTTTAATTGTTTGTATAGAACGAGCAACAAGACTTGTGAAATCTCAACAAGGTGCGGGTAAAGAGTATGTGTGTATTTACAGACTTCACAGCGTTGTTGAGGATGAGAAGAAAGTCCTTAGGGTTTGTATTCTATCTGATCCTAGTTGTTTGCTCATTTTATATCAGATTTTAAAGGAATAGACAGAATTTCATTCTACTGTATTTGTTTTATTTTGGACTAAAATGCGTCGTTAGCATAATGACAGTGTGTTGAATAATGTTGGTCTCCACCAACTTCAAAATGTTGTAGTTGAAGGCCAGTTTGATGTAAAAAAAAAAAATAAAAAGAAAAAGAGAGATGTGCACTGATATATTTATATATCTAGTTTGAATCCATATTTACTAGACTTGCTGTGTCATCATGGTAACACATCTTTTGATGAACTCTTGATTGAGGTGTTACACTTATAGCTTCTATACAGAATTTCATTCAATAAAAGGCGAAATAATTTAGATACTTTATCTGTTTATTACAGAATTTGGAAATGTTGCAAGGTGCATTGTTTCAAAGACCTCCATTGATATCAGCAGTGAAGAGGCAGTTAAGAATAAGAACCGTATATGAGGTGAAATCTCTCGAGTATGCCAAGGAAGATGCTATGGGTATGTAGTCTAGACTTGTGTTTATAAATCATCAGAGAAACTAACCATTCACCACTTAGACAACAATTGAAGGTTTAGATTCATTGTTTTGGTGTCCAGATAGGCCTCTTGCCAGTGGTTCTGTTTTCATTGAATGCCTCTTGCCAGTTGGGAATTGTGTTCATTGAATGCAGCCCTTGTTGATCTTGTTTTTTCACAATGTATGATTTAAGATCATCTTTGTTAGACTATTTTAAGTTTTTTACCATTTCATCAAATGCTCATAGTGTGATATACATTTTACAAAGCTGTTTTAGCACCTGTGTATAAAAGCCAACTTCTTTCGTATTTGAGTCAGGTTTTCATACCAGCAGGTTTTGCTTTATTCATTTCATAATATGTAGAAAAATGTACTCTTTTATTTTAAACCTTATGCTGAGATTATTCAGCTATATGAAACAATACGCGTCACATTTAAGCTGTAGTGTTTTGCTTTATTAATTTCATAATATGTAGAAAAATGTACTCTTATTTTAAACGTTATGCTGAGATCATTCAGCTATATGAAACAATATGCCACACATTTAAGCTGTAAGTGTTGACCTCTTTAATGTTGACCTTCAGGTGTATTCTGGGTCAGCTGTGAGGCAGGCACATACATACGTACCATGTGTGTTCATTTGGGACTTCTACTGGGAGTTGGAGGTCAGATGCAGGAACTAAGGCGAGTTCGGTCAGGCATACAAGACGAAAAGGTTTGTTTCAAGAGCTTTAAACATAGACATGATGGTTTAGACAGTCTGTAATATTGTAGTTCATTGGCATTAGGCTGGAAGGTTTTTGTTTCAACAAGTTAAGTCAGGTAGGCCTGATTTGGGTAGATATTGTTTGAAAAAAAACAACTGAACATTAAAATTTACTTTTGAAAAGAAATTGATACAGCGGAACAACACTTACACAGCACATAGCATATACATTAGTTTATGATGTAGTTTTTCCATTTGATACAGATGCAATTGTAAAACTAGGGTACATGCTACTTTAGAGGTTTGCAATCACAATGCTTATCATATTGCAGGACAAAGGTGCACACATGTTCATGCCTCTGACTTAATGTAGACTTTGGTATGGAAACGTGTGCTACATTAATTCTCCAACATCGGATATCTGTATGAAGTTTCTACTAATTACAGTACTTATTGTTGGATATAATAATGATTTAAAATAACAGACTTGTACATGTCTTTTAATGGCACATTATGTCTTTAGAAACATATAAATAATTGTTTTGAGCATATACATGTATTTTAGATCCGAAGATAGTAGCATTGAATGTTGAAAGTATTTGTCATATAAGTAGCAAACTGTAAACAAAGTAGTATTTTGACTTCCATATAAAATTAGCTGTACTTATTGCCTAATTATTTGCCTAAAAAGCGTAAAAAAGCAAATTATGGTTCATGCCAAAGTGTAACATTATGAGTTTTTGACAATAATGACAGGACACCTACAAAACAACAGAGAAATAGTAATACAGTAAACTTCACTTATAGCGAACACGGTTATAGCGAACTTCCGGTTATAAGGAACAATTTATTTTGGCCCGAATTTTGCCCTTCTTTATTTAATATAAAAATATACGGTTATAGAGAACACGGTTATAAGGAATTATCGCTTATAAGGAACTCATTTCTTAGTCCCAATTTAGTTAAAAGTGCATAAAATTACACTTTTATAACGAACTCCAAATATCGGCATTTCGTCAATATATCCCGCATTTTCAACTTTCGTTTTCACTGGCACGGAATAAAACTCGCGAAATGTACCGTTTATTGTTGTATGTAATTCAATATATGAAAATGAATTTGTATAGAAGTATGTAATAGTTTTCTATTTAGAATATTTTTTGGCTTGAGTTCTTGTCACAAAGATAAAACGGTAATTCCTTTTATTCTTTAATTTCTTTTCTTTAATAGTTTTGCTCGAGTAAAATAATTATCGGTTTTCAACATAATCACGCATGCTTGCAAACATAAGCCATAGAAAACTTTAAAGTATGCTTGATTGAAATGAAAAGAAATCTATATATTTCATTAGTTAAAGTCACCCTTAAAATATAATAGAAGATATTCTGAATCAATATAAAAGGAAGAAAAATGGAAAATCGTATTTACTCTTATTCATTGAAAGAAAACGAAAAGCACTGAGTTAAGAAATAAAATATGATGTTTTATGAAAAATTGAGAAAGGGAGTAAAACTAAAACTAAAATAGCAAAGGATTTTCAAATTCCAAAGTGTACGCTCTCGGGTATTGTGTCTAAAAAAGGAAAAAATGACTATTCTTAATCAAATGCTCTTAAAAATGGCGGACGATGTTTAACAATCAGTTCGTTATATGTAAATCTGTTCGCTATAAAAACTCCTGATACAAGGAACTAATTCGCTATATGCTTACAAGGAACTCCGGATATAAGGAACAGATTTTGAATGTCCCAATGAGTTCGTTATATGCGGAGTTTACTGTAAATGCATTTCTAGGACATAGTGGGTCTTCAACATTTTTGTGTAATAAAGAAAATCGCTATATCATGAAAATCTTTACTTAGCCAATGATGTGTTGTTGGCAGAGTGATTTAAATCTCAATCTCAGAATGAGATTTCAGAGTTGTAAAATTTTTAACTGTCTGTAGCTTGATCATTTCTTTAAGTAACTGAGGGTGTCCATGGCTGAGTCAAAATCATCAGGAAAGAATTTGCCCAAAGTGAAATTGTCTACTATGTCTTGTGGTTTATGAACAATTCGATCTAAATAAAACCCTAAGCTCACTCTGTCTGGTTTTCAAGGGTATAGAGGTCTGTAATTGTCAAATAATATGTTGTCAATTATGTTTGCATAATATACCGCCTCCGTGGTCGAGGAGTTAGATTCGATGACTTCTAATCCAGTTACCTCTCTGGCGTGGGTTCGATCATCGGGAGATGCTTTGGTAGTTTAGCGCGGAGGAAGGTAGTCTAGTACTGGTGTAACTCTCCAGGAAGGATTGTTAGGAAACTACCCGCCTATATGACTGAAATACTGTTGGAAAAAGGCATAAAATGAAACAAACAAACAAACAATGTTTGCATTAATGCAAGTATCTGTTGTACTTCTGATTCACTCATTGAACAAAAAAAAACAGTGCATACTTATTATTTAACATAGTTGCTAGGAAACAATTAAAACAAATATTGTGTTACAGGTTGGTATGGTAACATTACATGATGTTCTGGATGCTCAATGGATGTATGATAACCAAAGAGATGAGAGTTATCTGAGACGAGTCATCAAACCTTTAGAAGCATTACTCACCTCACATAAGCGAATTGTGATTAAAGACTCTGCTGTAAGTACCTTCAGATGCCGGGCTTTTTTCACAGGCTGGGGAAGCAGCCTTCCCCCTTAATTTTGGAAAACTAATATGGTATTTTTGTATAAGGGAAGGAATTTTTTTTATGCCAATTGAATTTTGGGAGGAAACTGCATGATTTTAAAGAATTTTTCTTATGGGGAAGCTGCCCTTGTGTGGCCCTTGCTATAGAAGGGGAAAAAAGCCCTGAGATGAATTCATTTTAATATGAAGCACAGGCTAAGTAAGTCATTATACATTGATTCAATAGGAGGTAGTTCCATATCTTTTGCATGCGTATAACAGAAGGGTAGCTAAATAAAAAACCTTATATTATATATACTCAGACCAGACATGAGACACATGATCTGTTAATTATACAAGCCTTAAAATATAAGGAGAGGGCATTTGCTGTATATGTACATGTATTTGTAAGAATTAAAAAAAAGAAAGAAAAAAAGACTCTGATCAAGAGATACCATTATGGCGAGAATTTCTATGCAAAAGTACGAAGATACGTATTTTGTAGCGCTCTTAAACAGGTTACTATCTGTGTAGATTTTAACTTGGTAGCGGGTGCTATATGAATAATCCTTTTAAAAAAGTTCCTGTTCTATGTTATATGCTGTTCTGGAACATGTCGGAGGATAACAGTCTTACATTTTTATGTACCCATTATGGCATAAATAAAAATTGAAGTGAATAACCTTTATCCCCTTTACAGTCAGACCAGGCAAAATTATTTGAGCAGTTTAATCTTTTTAACTTATATGTAGGTTAACCACTCGACTTAAGGACTAGATTCATGTACTGTTTTTAGCTCACCTGTCACAAAGTGACAGGGTGAGCTTTTGTGATCGCTTTTCGTCCGGCGTCCGTCCGTCGTCCGTCCGTCCGTCCGTAAACTTTTACTTTAAATGACATCTCCTCATAAACCACTAAGCCAATTTCATCCAAACTTCACAGGAATGTTCCTTTGGTGGTCACCTTTGAAAATTGTTCAAAGATTTTAATTCCATGAAGAACTCTGGTTGCCATGGCAACCGAAAGAAAAAACTTTAAATATCTTTTTTTAAAAAACCATAAGAGCTAGAGCTTAGATATTTGGCATGAAACATCTTCTAGTGAGTATCTACCAATTTTGTTCAAATAAAAGTCCTGGGGTCAAAATTGGCCCCGCCCCAGGGGGTCATTGATTTTCCCTATATGCATATAGTAAAAACTTAAAAAATCTTCTTTTAAAGAACCCAAAGAGCTAGAGCTAAGATATTTGGCATGAAACATTTTCTAGTGATTGTCTACCAAGTTTGTTCAAATAAAAGCCCTGGGGTCAAAATTGGCCCCGCCCCGGGGGGTCATTGATTTTCCCTATATGCATATAGTAAAAACTTAAAAAATCTTCTTTTAAAGAACCGTAAGAGCTAGAGCTTAGATATTAAGCATGAAACATCTTCTAGTGAATGTCTACCAAGTTTGTTCAAATAAAAGCCCTGTGGTCAAAATTGGCCCCGCCCCGGGGGGTCATTGATTTTCCCTATATGCATATAGTAAAAACTTAAAAAATCTTCTTTTAAAGAACCAAAAGAGCTAGAGCTAAGATTTTTAGCATGAAACATGTTCTAATGGGTGTCTACCAAGTTTGTTCAAATAAAAGCCCTGGGGTCAAAATTGGCCCCGCCCCTTGGGGTCATTGATTTTCCCTATATGCATATAGTAAAAACTTAAGAAATCTTCTTTTAAAGAACCAAAAAAGCTAGAGCTAAGATATTTAGCATGAAACATGTTCTAATGGGTGTCTACCAAGTTTGTTCAAATAAAAGCCCTGGGATCAAAATTGGCCCCGCCCCGGGGGATCATTGATTTCCCTATATGCATATAGTAAAAACTAAAAAAAATCTTCTTTTAAAGAACTCAAAGAGCTATGGCTAAGATATTGAGCATCAAACATGTTCTAATAGGTGTCTACCAAGTTTGTTCAAATAAAAGCCCTGGGGTCAAAATTGGCCCCGCCCCAGGGGGTCATTGATTTTCCCTATATGCATATAGTAAATACTTAAAAAATCTTCTTTTAAAGAACCAAAAGAGTAAAAGCTAAGATATTTAGCATGAAACATGTTCTAATAAGTATCTACCAAGTTTGTTCAAATAAAAGCCCTTGGGTCAAAATTGGCCCCGCCCTGGAGGATCATTGATTTTCCCTATATGCATATAGTAAAAACTAAAAAAAATCTTCTTTTAAAGAACTCAAAGAGCTATGGCTAGGATATTTAGCATGAAACATGTTCTAATGGGTGTCTACCAAGTTTGATCAAATAAAAGCCCTGGGGTCAAAATTGGCCCCGCCCCGGGGGTCATTGATTTTCCTTATATGTGTATAGCAAAAACTTAAAAAATCTTCTTTGAAAAAACCCAAATAGCTAGAGTTAAGATATTAAGCATGAAACATCTTCTAGTAAGTGTCTACAAAGTTTGTTCAAATAAAAGCCCTGGGGTCAAAACTGGCCCGGCCCCAGGGGTGTCATTGTTTTTAACTATATGTGTTAAGTAAAAACGTTAAAAAATCTTCTTTCAAAAAGCCCAATGAGCTAGAGCTTAGATGTTTAGCATGAAACATCTTCTTATGGGTGTCTACCGAGTTTGTGCAAATAAAAGCCCTTGATTTAAATTGGCCCTGCAACGTTGGGTGGGGGGGGGGGTTATATACAGGTGAGCGACCTCAGGGCCATCATGGCCCTCTTGTATAAGTTAAGAAGGAAAAAAATTGGCTTTTTGTCATTTTGATGATGATTACTGAAAGTAATTGGTCTGTCGGCCGTGTTTGTACATTTACGAGCATTTACTATTTTGCACAAGTAATTTGAACCCATTTAGTTGCCTCTTACTATCATACATACTGTCACGCAATACTGATGCCTCAGCCCATAAAGGCAACCTCTCGGCCACAAGTTGAACTAGTGTATAAACAATTGAATGTGACACCATTATCGTTACACACAAACATAGTGTAAAAGCATGCTTATTTTGGATATGTGATAAATAGAATATTATATTCGTGTAGATTCAATACTGAATTTTTAAACTCATTGAACGAAACGATAATATGCAAGCCTCATATGATTTTATTGAACTCATTCAATTAATTAATGGTAAATCTATGCTCATTAAATATCCTCTATTTATGGCAAGAATTTCTATGCAAAAGTACGAAGATACGTATTTTGTAGCGCTCTTAAACAGGTTACTATCTGTGTAGATTTTAACTTGGTAGCGGGTGCCAGATGAATAATCCTTTTAAAAAGTTCCTGATCTATGTTATATACTGTTTAGGAACATGTCAAAGGATAACAAGTTTTTAAGTGTCCATAAAATAAAATTGGGCGTGAAATAACCTTTACCACCTATACTGTCAGGCCGGTCAAAAATTATTCGAGTGGTTTTAAGAGTTAATTCTGTTAACACATACAGGTAAATCAGTAGACTTGATTCTTGTGCTGTTTATACACTTAGTTTGGGAAAATTGACTTTTGTCACCATTTTGACAAGGATTACTGAAAGTAATTGGTCTGTCGGCCGTGTTTGTACATTTAAGAGCCTTAAAAATAGATGAAGAGATCTATTTTGCACAATTACTACACTACAGTGTATTAATATTATCATATGTAATACTGAGTGGCATTATTACAGGCAGTGTGTCCTTGTTTATGTGATATTGATAAAATTTTACCTAATTTAACAATTTACAGTAAAGCATTTTCTTGATAAAGAGTTATGATATCAAGTTCTGCTTTTATGTTATTATCAAGGATGAATATATATCTTCTGTAATTTGACAGGTGAACGCTGTTTGCTATGGAGCCAAGATCATGTTACCCGGTGTTTTAAGATATGAGAATGGTATAGAAATTAATGAAGAAATCGTCATAGTAACAACGAAAGGCGAGGCTGTAGCATTGGGTATTTAATTTTATTCATTATTTTGTTGATAAGTACATTCTAGTATTGGACTGTTTTCATGTCCATTTTAAAGTGTATGCTGGGGTGAAAAAAATACTAAATTGCTTGTCTCCTGTTGCTTTGAATTAAATGTAGGCAAGCAAAATCTATGAACTCGCTGCAAAAAGTCGATCATTTCAACTAAAGTTATCCAATTGTCAAATTAACCTACCTTTTAGATGGAGATTAAATATAGCCATTGCCTATATATATTTGCATAATAGGCTGTTAGGATAGGATCAGTGGTAAAGACGAGCATATATTAACTGTAGGGCCTACACATTCAGCATGTTCAGCAGCTTTTTTGACCACTTTATACTGTTTGCTTCCCAGATTTGGCTTTTGATATCAAAATCCCTTGAAATAACTATAAACCATTCCAAGGGCAAATTCATTATACAAATTTAGCTTGGTTAAGGTAAATGTTTCCTCTTTCGTTGCTCTGGTTTAGAAATCATGCGAAGAAATAGGTTTTATCCAGTTTGTTATTCAAGGAAAGTTGTTAGGCAGACTTTCATATTAAAGATCTGACCAACAGTGTGTTAAATCTGCGTGAAAACCAGATAAATAATTAAGCCTTTATTCTTATGTTATTTCAGCCATTGCTCAGATGACATCTGCTGTCATGGCAACAACAGACCACAATATTGTTGCTAAGATAAAACGTGTGATAATGGAGAGAGATACATACCCAAGGAAATGGGGACTGGGACCAAGAGTATGTCATTGTTTTCTGTTTATCTGATACATTGTGTGGAGTTAACTTTGAAAAAAAAAATAAAAAAAAATTATAAACCCCCCCTCCCCCCTTCTACAGTCTCCCTGATACATATTATAATTTACCTTATAAATGTTTCCATATCATAAGTCAAGATTATCATTTTAAGGGGGAAGTAATTATTGTGCTTGACCATTTTATGTGTCTAGGGCAATTTTTTCCCAAAAAAGACTTGCACAATTTTTCCATTCCTAGCACTATTACTGTTAATTTTGACAAAGTCGAGCAAACTGTATTCTGTACAACTTGTAAAATAAAAAACATTTTTTTACACAAATTTTGAATAGTTATACTTTGTAAGAGTCACTGATGATTTGATACAGAGGTCACATTATTTTAACTTTATAATTTTGATTTGAATAGGCAATGATAAAGAAGCAGATGGTCAAGGAAGGAAAGCTAGATAAATATGGCAAACCCAATGACAGTACTCCGAAAGCTTGGATGGAAATGTAAGGCAATTTCTTTATATTACTGCGAACTTTTCATTCCTTTTCATTAATGATATATTGAAGTGCTAACTTCAGTTGATAGATCAATATGGTGTATTGTTAAAGCTCAAATTTGAGATACACCATAAACATTATGTAAATTTTGAAAAAAAAACTTCTACACATTATTGTGAAATTTGACTGAAACTTAATTTTTTTACAGATTTATGATGTTGACATGCATTAGTTAAAAATAAGACTTTATATAAACTTAAAATATGTTTTGAAAAAGATAATTGGTTTGCGTTTTCAGATTAAAAAAGTCTGGAGACTTGAATGAGAATGAAGACATTAAACCAGCTGTAAATAACGTGGATGCGTCTCAAGGAGCTGTAAAGGTTAGAAGTTATTTTTGATAATTTTATAATCATTTATTTTTGGTTAAGAAGAATTTTCAAATTTTAACACTATTTAACCCTAAGCCTGTTAGCTGAATCTAACGACTTGACCAGTGCAGACTCATCTGTGTTGTTTTATCATGGTCTGCAATGTCTGTCGGAACTTATTTTAAAAAATTATGTCTGTCTAAAAAACTAAGTTTCTTTGGGGGGGGGGGTGGAATACGGTCAACTATTTTTTCACAAAGATACCTGCATACAACTAGAGACATTTTTATTAACACAGATGATTATTAGTATAGAACTTTTATTATGAATTTTAACATTTTACGCATGAAAACTGATATGTTTTAGTTAATATCTATTAAGGTTATCTAAATAACAAAGTTGATTTAGAATCTCTTGCCCTTTAATGCTGTAAGTTGAATATCAGGAAGGATATTTAATTGATTCATGTGATCACACCTACATAAGGTTGGCTCTTATTTGTATGCCTTTAAAAATAGGGGCAAGTTTACCCTGCCAGTAACAGCATGAAAATTGACATGCAAGTATGCCCACCATGTTGGTGTGTTT